CCACCTTGTGGCTTCGCTCTGCCATCCCTGATTCACAACAACCAACTTCTCCTATAGGTTTCCTATTTTTGAAACTTCCGCCACCGCCTTGTGCGGTACTACTGGTATATACAGCGCATATATATGTGTGTATAATGCCATTTTCGGAGGTTACCGTCCTGTTTATAATCAACATGAAATTATCGTGGGGAATACCGAGGGAAAATTTCGACAGGCATTCTAACCTTATTTATTTAGTCCTGAAACCCTTGAAATTCCAAAATTTTTGGTGCAATTTCGACCGTCCCATCTTTTCCATGCACTTTAAATATGCAGAATATGCATGTAAATTGCAAACATTTTTTTCATGAACAATAAACAATGTTCTAATATGAGGAAAACATGTAATATCGTATTTTGAATATGTAGAATATGCAGGTATTCGCCGAAAAAACACGCTCGTGATCAGCAAAAACAAACAGGATCAATCAAAAATGACGGAGTATTAGAAAATGATGAAAAATGCAATGTCGTTTGTGTAAAATGCCGTTTTTGGAGGTTACCATCCTGTTTAATCAGCATTTACATTATCGTGGGGAATACGGTGGGAAATCCCTGACGGGCATTCTAACCCTATTTATTCAGTCCTGAAACTCCTAAAACTCCAGAATTATTGACACATTTTCGACCGTCCCGTCTTTTCCATGTACTGCGAATATGCAGAATATGCATGTAAATTGCAAACAAATCTTTCCATGAACAATAAGCACTGTCATGATATGCAGAAAATGCAACATCGTATTGTTTTTTCAAAATGCAGAATATACAGTATTTGCCAGAAAAAACATGCTCATGATCAGCAAAAAAAATCAACAAAACATGACAGAATATTGTAAAAATGCAATATTGTCTGTGTACCACGCCGGTTTTGGAGGTTACCATCCTGTTTAATCAACATTTCACTATTGTGGGAAATACCGTGGGGAAATCCCCGACGGGCATTCTAACTCTATTTGTTTAGTCCTGAACCCCCTAAAATTCAAAAATTTTTGACGAATTTTCGTCCGTCCCGTGTCTTCCATGTACTGCAAATATGAGGAATATGAATGTAAATTGCAAAAATATCTACCCATGATCAATAAAACATGACAGAATATGCAGAAAACATGCAATATCGTCATCCGCCGATCCAAAACCACCTCGTTTACTCACATCTAATATGCAGGTACATGTACATATATGTAATACATACAGCGCATATATATATATGTGTGTATAATGCCATTTTCGGAGGTTACCGTCCTGCTTATAATCAACATGAAATTATCGTGGGGAATACCGAGGGAAAATTTCGACAGGCATTCTAACCTTATTTATTTAGTCCTGAAACCCTTGAAATTCCAAAATTTTTGGTGCAATTTCGACCGTCCCATCTTTTCCATGCACTTTAAATATGCAGAATATGCATGTAAATTGCAAAAGAATCTACCCATGACCAAAAAAATACATGTCACAGTGTGCACAGAAAAAATGCAATATCGTATTATGAATATGTAGAATATGCATGTATGGGCAAAAAAACATGCTCATGATCAGCAAAAACAAACATAATCAATAAAAAATGACAGAATATTGGAAAAAATGCAACATCGTCTGTGTATAATGCCGTTTTTGGAGGTTACCATCCTGTTTAATCAACATTACATTATCGTGGGGAATACCGTGGGAAAATCCCCGGCAGGCATTCTAACCCTATTTTTTTAGTCCTGAAATCCCTAAAACTCCAAAATTATTAACGAATTTTCGACCGTCCCGTGTCTTCCATGTACTGAAGATATGCAGAATATGCATGTAAATTGCAAACAAATCTTTCCATGACCAATAAAACATTTCTTATTCATCCAATGCCGATCGCTGCATAACACCATTTTCAACTTTGGGGCTCTGCATCGTAGTCAGCCGTGTTGGCTGTGGGCACGGCACCCTTGCACTGTAGGAGGAGAATGGGGTGGATGGTGGGCGCAAAGTCGGATGACAAATGTGGAAACCCACCACTACCCTCCACTTGGACCAAAGTAGCAGACATACGCTCTCTTGATTTGATCTCATCAAGTCACTAGTCTGAATAATACATTGTCACACGTGACAGTCGCTTATTCATCCAATGCCGATCGCTGCATAACACCATTTTCAACTTTGGGACTCTGCATCGTAGTCAGCCGTGTTCCCCATCTTGTTCACCATGGCTTCGAAAAGTTGTTCCAAAGCTGCATACGCAAGGATGGAGACATCTTCAAATCCCAAGCTTCTCAACATGCTAGTGTCACCTCTTGAAGGGGCGTCTGCTATGTTACTGTATGAACTCACTCTTGCAACCCAACAATTTATTTTTGTCAACACTTCCTGTTCATAAAAACTCTGTTTTGAACCCACAGAGCCTCGCACGCAACGTCGTTTCACATGCTCATGCATCTTGCATGACATGGCATTTGAGCTTCACTGGTTTCAGTGTTTGGAGTAGTTTTCAACTAGCAAACTCCTATACACAGGTGTATATACTGGCTAAAGTGGTAAGAAAACATTTCTATACCCCGCCTTTGGTCCATGAGTAGTCTTTACTCGATGGAGCAAACTGCAAATGTTTATACCTAAGGTATGAAAACAAAAACAGCAAAAGAAACGAAACGATTCCACGTGGACTTCGTGTAAGTCCCACTGCAAAGGGCCGTGGAATTCCATACTAACCAAAAGCTTGTCACAAGACATCACGGTACCCTGACATTGTGTCAGCAACACCATGTTTCCTAGGCTCTCTCACTACCTGCAAGAGATCATGTTAACTCTTGCCAGGCCTGAAAGCTTCTCTGAAGAGCAATCTCCCCAGCAAGATCATGTTAGCTTGCTGCGGGTCACATTTCTCACTCAATTTCTTCTCTGTTGCTTCCTCTTGCTATCTCCTCGTTCTCGGCCATCATTTCAGCCTGTTGTTCATCCCATCTTTCTGTCACTGATACCTCATGTCTCTCGCACATCATGTAGCGATGATAACGCTCATCTTCCGACTCATGGTTGATTTCCATCCACATTTCAGGGTCGGAAACTTCTGACATTGTCGATTGACAGTACCTGTGAAATCGATGTTCCTGTGACTGCATCTGTTCTTCGTCATCATCACTTCCAGCTGCTACCTGTGGACGACGACGAAGGTGTCCAAACATAGACATTCCAACCTGGTAGCCTTGGAAGGCTTGTCCAATGTCGTCCATCACCTGTTGCTCATTGAACTGGAAGCGTGGTGACCTTTCATCATCTGTTAGGTCTGTCATTGCAATCAGACTTTCTTTCATCTGGTTGTGTCGCTCATCAGTGGTATGATCCATAAACATATGAATCATCTCAGAAAGTCCGTTCATTCTTTCTGCATTCATTGTTCTCGCGTCTAATCCTTGCTTGGCATCTGAAGTAAAGCCAAACAAGCATCCCTTCAGCTCTGAATGTTGCATCGGCAAACACTCCAGGAAATCTCAATCCCAAAGATCTTGGATTTGCCTCGTATCTGGAGCCTTGAGGTTCTGTAGATGGTTCCATTCCAGCTTCTTCAGACTGCTGTTCAGGTTCTGGTTCCGTTTCATCAGTTGGCACCATATATGCCACCAGCGCCAATGTGAAAACAAAACCACATAGTATTGCTAAAACCACTGGGCTCTGACCTCCGTGCCACCAGCTCAAGGCTTTGGAGACGGTTGTTTCGAACGCACGAAAACTGGAGAACATCGAACCATCGGCTATCCCCAAAACGCTCCAAATGGAAAGAACTCTGAGAAATTGCTTTGCCTACACTATACTATGTGTCAGGGAGGTGGAGGATCGCAGGGCGCGTTGTCAAAGGAAAAACCAAAACAACAAACAGTTTCACACAAGAAATCGCGAGACATGAAAAGAACTGCACTGCTGAAAACTCCATCGACCACAAACTGTTGACATGCCTGAAAAACTGCTGCTTGAAACCGGACTCATTCTTTTTCAGGTGGTGGTGATGTCCTGCGCTATCCGTTCAGACAACATTTGCTGTCAACGTAACGTCAAGGATTCAACTCCACATTGCAAATGTCGGATCGCCCCAACATCAAAGTATTTCCAGGAATGCAAGTGCCAAAACGTCAATGCACTCCCCCAGCGCAGGGATCACCCATACCCAAATCAGGGCATGGGAGGGTGGGTGTCCAAGTTTCAGAGCCTGTGCTGCACGTAAAATATTGAGTGAAATTCCAGTTGAAGTCAAATCTGCAAAACGATTTGCGAAGAAGCCAGAGCTGAACAGTTTCACCAGTTCCAAAAACTTCAGTCACTTGTTGAAAACGACATGTGAAAAACCAAACAGCAGCGAAAACGTCACAACGTAAAAGACCAGCTGTAAAACTCTTCTCAAAAGCAACTGTACCAATACGCATCGATCCATCCAACAGTTAATACCAAAAACAGCAACTGCAAGAGGAAAACCAAGTTCACCGGTTGATCCAAGTTTGTGAACCCAATCGCTACACAAGCCACATCTCACGAACTTCGCCAGAAGGGCCACCAAGGCCAGGAGGAACCCACCCACCCACCCAACACATAGTACCGTATAGACTCACGGGCACGCCCTATGAAGCCTACACTATACTATGTGTCAGGGAGGTGGAGGATCGCAGGGCGCGTTGTCAAAGGAAAAACCAAAACAACAAACAGTTTCACACAAGAAATCGCGAGACATGAAAAGAACTGCACTGCTGAAAACTCCATCGGCCACAAACTGTTGACATGCCTGAAAAAACTGCTGCTTGAAACCGGACTCATTCTTTTTCAGGTGGTGGTGATGTCCTGCGCTATCCGTTCAGACAACATTTGCTGTCAACGTAACGTCAAGGATTCAACTCCACATTGCAAATGTCGGATCGCCCCAACATCAAAGTATTTCCAGGAATGCAAGTGCCAAAACGTCAATGCACTCCCCCACTTTAGTGACGTGTTGCGCACTAACATCACCACGCCGATTTCTCAAGCTTCCTTTTCTTCCCACCAGGAACTGTCTTTCCCAAATTCTTTGCCTCAAGCCTGGCTTCGTCAAATTGTGCTTTGGTTTTCCACAAGGTCTCGACGATGCAGAGATCGATGTCAGAGAGAGTCACTGGAACCCTGTCACTTTCAGAAAAACCTGCAAATTCCTCGTTCGTGAGGTTGTCAGCTTCAACGTTTTCCTCCCGAGGTCTCCACCTCAGATCTAAACTCAAGCGTGCCTTTGCTAAGGAGGAAGATAACTGCATGTTGATCAGCATTAGAGGCCATCTGGTTGTGGACCTCTTGGAGGTGAGCGCATCATTTGCAATATTGTCTGTGCCAGCCCTCAACGCAAGGGTAACAGTCTGCCGAGTCGTGCCCTCCTTAAACCATCCAAATGCCTGCAGTGCGCACAAAGAAGAAAGCAATTCAGCAGAAGTGGATGCCCACTGAGAGCCCCCCCCCTCAGCTTTGAAAAGGTAGGGGACCTGAGTCCTATCAAGCTTCAGCGAAAACCACCTGCGTGTTTGCAATTCCCATCCACCAAGTACAACATGTTCATCTGTGCATTTTGCATCTGTCCGGAATTGTTCCCCGGAAAAATAAATTGGCCTCCTTGCAGAAACTCTGAATGTTTCACTCTCCATTTCCCCCAGAATATAAAGCAGGGTCAAGATGACAGTATCCGGAAGCTTCCCAACCAGCCCCGGCGTCGCAACAGCACTCCAAGCGAACAATGGTGCCAGATGCAGCTTGAGCCACGTCAACAATTGAGCCACAAAACCAAGGCGGCCAAGGAATTCACTGAACTCCCTGGCCTGAACCACAAACTTCTTCTCTATCAACGCCTTGATCCAATTGAAAAGCCACATCCCCCTCTTTTCAGTAATGCCAACTTCGCATTTGTCATAACGCAAATGGAAACCAACGAAGTCAGATGAGAAGCCTCCCTTGAACTTATGATACCCAAAAGGTGTCCCAATCACCTCAAACGCAAGGAGCCAAACCCAGAGCATATCAAACTTCCATCGACCTGCAAATGCTCCATGCAAATCATCCACATAAACCAAATGCCAAAACACTGTTGTCTGCATCACATGTCCTACAAACCGCCCAATGGCTGCAAAAAGCTTCGACCACCAGTACGGCGCACTTGACACTCCAAAAGTCCCAGTCTTGTTGATCCAAACAGTTTCGGATAAAGAATCCGCACGACAGCAAATATAAGGCCAGTCAGCTTCTCTGATCTTCACCAAGCGATGGGCTGCCTTGATGTCTGCTGATACACAAAAGGCTGCTTCCCTAGACTCCACCGCCTCCCGTACTACGGCGGCCACCTCTGCTGGGCCTGGGCATTGTAGCTGATCCCTGTAAACAATGGAGTGGTTGACCATGACTGAGTGGGTGGCGTCGTGTAATGGACGGACTCCACCATCCGGCTTGACAATCGCCGCCATTGCTGCGACTCGCAGCTTATCACCATACTTGGCCTTGAGAACTGACATTCTTGAAGGTTCCATTCGGCCAAGTGCTTCTTCTTCTCTAAATTTCTCCTCCAGCTCCTTTGAAGAGATCTGCCCAGAAATGTAGTTGTCAGCAATTGGATTGAACTCAGTTCCATCCAACTTCCTATGCTTCAACTTCGGTGGAAAAATTTGCGGTGACCTGGGCAATGGGGCGTCTACTCCAACGCTAACGCCAGTAGCGTACGAGTCAGTATCGCTCACCAAACACTGAACATCTGGATCACCAAAAACTTCCAGCCACTGTGCCAACATCCGTAGAAAGAAAGGCTGGCCCTCATCTCTAACCAACGCATCTTCTGGATCCCTCAGCAACATGGCAACTTCCCCCCGCACTTTGTTCAGCACCTCTTCAGTAAAAGGAGAAGATTGAATTTTGCCAGTAACCAGACGAAACGCATCCTTCCTCACATCTTGTATCGACTCCGTAACTGCTGACTGTAAACGCTTAAAGGTCTCGGCCGCCAACTTCTTCATTTCAACAGTGCGGTTATGCCCCCTGGAACGGGGATGCCATCTCGTGGGAGAGCACAACCCAAAACCATCTATGAGGTCGTGAGATTTGCCATCCCATTCCACTTTGATCGGTGGCCCATGATTTCCACACCTTGCTACATCAAACTCTTCGGCATCGATTGGCAAATCAAGGGGGGTGGCTGCGTCCTGAGCATCTCCAGTCAAATCAATCGTGGGAGGACCAGGAGTAGTCGACACTTGTTGCACCGAACTTGAACTCCCGGCTGCTGCTGTTTGTTGAACAGAACTTGAACCACTCGAAATTGTTGATTGCTGTGGACCACTCGATGTTGCTGGGTGTTGTACTCCACTCATTGGCACACTTCGGGAACTTCCCTCACCAGAAAATTTGCAGGAACTTCCATTGCTAGAGCCAGCCTGTGGAACTTGGGAACTTCCCTCACCAGAAATTTTGCCAGAAGCAGTCTGTGTAACAAGGGAACTTCCCTCATTGCCCTTTTGGTTCTGTGTCCCCCTCCCGCAGGATGCTCCAGCATGAAGGACCAAAAGTGAAAGGAATTCACATAAAGCAGGGGGATATGAAGCGCTTGGACTGGTGTTCCATTTGTTTGCAGTCTTACCCAAAAGTTTGTGCTTGTGTGTGTGGCCACAAGACTTCGGTAAAGGTCCTTTGTACAAGCCTTGTTTGTCAAAACGCGGTAAACCAAAATGGCATCTTGTGTCAGTGACTGCAAACGTACCCAGGAATCTTGTTGGTTTGGGAGTCAAAGCCCCAAAGTGACATTGTTGTATTGCAAAAGTGCAAGCGCCACATGAAGGAATGAGGTCAAGAACTTCTGACCATTGCCAGATGGATCCAGGCCGCTCATCTTTGACCAGTCCCAAGTCTTCCGGATGCTCGATGATAAATTTGCCACCTGCAGCATGACAGATGATACAGGATTGAATGCACCTGTCAACAAACATGTTGGCCTCTTCCACAACTGCTTTGTGATGCTGAGCTAGCCACGGAAAACCACGTGGCCAATTGATGTTCCTCAAGGGTCTTGGACCCGGCCAATCCTGAAAATGAAACCTTGCCCGTGAAAAGGTGTTGCACGGAGGGGAAACTATGAGCATCCAACCCCCCTCTTTGAGGGTGTTCCATATGTCTTCCCAAATGGACAGGTTTGTAAGGTCATGCTCTGGTGAAATCTCTATGTCAAACTCTTTGAGAGTCAGTTTGATACGGCCTGCATCGTGGGCCTGCTGTAAAAAGGAGGCCACATCCGATTGACGCCTCTTCCCAGCAAACAAGTACATCACTTTCACTTCGGGAGGCGATGCATGAGATGGGTGCGGCTTAGAGCTGGGGTCTTCAGTGCCACACCCCACTTGTCAAGTCGAACTTCGACTCTTCTCTCTATGTTGAATGGCTGGATGATCGCCATAGCACCCCTTGACTCTGCACTGATGTACACGATTGCAACTATTGTCACATGATCCAGAGTTGTATGCAAAACACAGGTCCCGACCATCGGGTGTCCTCCAAGCAAGCTGCAGACCTGCAAGCCTCGAATCTTTTCCCTTTGACTTTCCAGTTTTTCCCTTTCCTTTCGAAGCCTGCTGTCCTGACTTCCCTCCAGAAAAGGAACCTTTGCTATTGAAACGAGGCCATTTGTTCTGTGGAACATCAGCTGTTGCAGCACGCAATGCAACAGGCGTCGTGAAAAATGCTTCTTTCAGGTCAGCATCCTTTGTAACTGCACGCAATGCATTGGCTAAGGTGTAGCCCTCATTGATCACCAGGCGCATGGCTTCTTTTCTCAGCCTGTGTTCAAACGCTAAAATGATCCCCCAATCAGGTTTGACCTTCTGTTGTGTTCCATCTGCAGCTGGAATCTGTATTCCCAACACTCTCTCTCCCAAAATGAAATCGACAAATTTGTTGAAATCCGATGCCTCCAAACCATGAAGCCAATTCTTCGCCCTGTACCGTGCTGACATGCACAACCAAGCAAACATTTCAACCCTCATGATCTTTCGATATTCCTCAGTGTTGCTGGGCATCCTGGCTTTGTTTTTGGTCCGAGTGACCCTCAAATGCCCTGAAGAATCCACTGTTGACTGAATATGTGAGCTTGCATTGTCTCGTTTACTGATTATTTCGTCTAAGGGCGAGGCCACTGGCTCGTTGAGCTCCGTCTCCTCCGCTTTGAGTGCCAAGTAGTCTGAGCTGGGCGTCTCAGACTCACCAAGACAACCATGGATCCTTTCAACAGCACGAATCATTGATTGCCTCTCATGAGACTGAAGAATCTTTGGCTGGCCTAAAACCTTTGCCTCGGCTCGTAATTCAATCTCTTTCGCAACAAATTCTTTTGCTGTTTCCCATGCCGCCACAATTGAAGCTACCTCTGCCCTGTTCTCAGGAGTATCTTGGGGAATTGCAAAGTCCTGCAAACAAGCTGTACGAATCTGAGGCCTGTCGTCGCCGATTGCATTGAACTTCCTAAGGGACCCATATCTCCTTGCAATTGCAGCTTGTCTGTGAACGGAAACGCCAGATTCACTCAGGATAAACTGCAAGTCTGCATCCATGTTCTGAGAAATGTATTCCCTATCAGCTTCATCTGGGTCCACGGCCATTGCACCGAGGGACGGACGTACTGTCCAGGCACTATGTGAATTGACACCAACCAAAGTGCAATGCCCAATGAACACCTTCCCAAACAAAATGATGAATGAAAATGAAAACAGTGAAACGTTCACCAGAGGCACCCTTAGGTCTGAGCCATCTGTAATGAACTTGACATCTAATGAAGTGATCTGAATCACCCACATGCCAAGTCATTGAACCGTGATCGACATCACGTCACCCTGAGGTCTAAAGCCAGAATTTCGGACATCACAAATGTAACCATCTGTCCAGACTGTCTCAACAGTGCCTGCCCAAGTATTTTAATGCACAAACTTGACTGAGGTCTTCACCAATCTCTGATCAAGAAAGATAAACAAAATCACGCAGAATCAACACAAACTTTTCGATGCAGCCAGCAGGTAACGAAAGTTGAAACAAACAAAGGTCTGAACCCATTGACGGCAAGCCTGACATTGCTCCTTTGGCAACACGTCGGCAACTTAGCCTGCGACGTCATCTGCACTTCCTGTGGACGACGATGATGCCGTCGAACTTGACTCAGGATTCACATCCTTCCCGTTCTCAGCTAACATCTTCCTCTTGCATGCTCTGCAGATTGAGTCAAAATCTTCATTGGTAACTTCGTCCAACATACGGACTTCAGTGCAGTTGGACGGCTTGACAAAACATCCAGTGAGGTGCAACCTGCGAAATGCTGTGCGCCTCGAGATGGTGACAAAGAACTTTGACTGCTCTTTCGACGTAGCCTCATCTCTGGTTTTCTGATCCAGGATGTTCGCAGCCAACGTAAGCTCATCCTCTTCGTTCTCACCAATTTCGAACCAATCATCTGGCAAGACCTCCAAAGTGGGGAATGTTCCCCAAGACAAAATTTCCCAGAGAGGCTGGAGCACAAAATATTCCTGATCCAAGCCTGTCACAATCGATCTGTTGACAGCCTTTGTTATGGTGAACACCACCTGACGCGATGTGCGGACATACTCCTCTGAAGCTACCATACCCATTGCCCAGCGGCCCAAATATGCCCTCTGGTCCTTGTGGAACCCGATGGCGGCCGCCACAGATGTCAGAAAGTTCCGTGGACTGTGTCCCGTAAAATGGGTTTCCAGTCCATCCGGTAGCAGCAGCCCTCCGGTGTTTGCCACCCACATGTCACCCTGCTTCCTGGGCACAGGTAAATCGCTGAGCAGCTTGCTGATCAAAGAACTCAATCCTGATGGTGTCACAAACTTCCGCTTCGCTGAAGTCCAGTCTGCCGTGGGCTCCATCACAAGAAAATCCCTCCTGTAATTAAATGGCTCATCATCCCAAAGTCTGTAACCAATCCCAAGCCAATCCTCTCCAGTCAGTGAAACAGTTCTGTAAACATGAACCGAAACCTCCTTCTGTATCTTGTCAGGGTCCGACGTCTTTGATTTGCCCAGCACCATGCGTAGCCCGTAATTGGACAATGTTGTCCTGTGAGGCAATGTTGACTGCACGTCATCCCACCTCATGGACCCCCAAATCATCACAAGCACCACCCATGCCAATGCTCTTGAGAACAGGCGTTGGGAAACATCTGCAACAACCAATTCCAAAGAGAGCAACATTGCAATTGTACACATCTCTGCAGGTTTGACCGGCGGGGAGTCAGCCGCCAGCTCTGCTGTCCACGCCTTGATGTGGGCCAGCCACAACTGCTCATCCGACAATCGCTCCCCTTCAGGAACTCTACCAAGCTGCTCAATCGGTGTCAGTGATGTATGGAAACTTTCAGGAATCGTCTTACCACAACCTTCATCTGCACGATGTTGAATGTAATCTATGATGTCTTTCAACTGGACAGGAAACTTGCGACCAAAGTGAAGTTCCAACCAGACTGCAAATGGTCTCCATGACTTGTATCGATTCTTCAGTGTATTGCACCTCCGAGTTCCGAACAGATGGACCCATCCCTGCTGAGGATCATCCAAGGTTCTGATCATTGCCACCACTGGCAAATCAGCATCAACAATCACTTGAGCAAGAAGTGATGTGTACTTCTTCCGTTCAACGTCTGCACGTTTCGCTCTAGACTCAGCTTCTAGCCTGTGAATCTTCTGTCGCTTCTTTGTATGTGCTTCAATCAAAGAAACCACATTGGTCTGAACCAACGCTTGTAAACATCTTGAACTGTGTGAGGCCCCGACTGAAGTGGAAGAAACATCACATGGTCTACAACCTGACGCCTGGCATGCTTGCATGACCTGCCATTGGCATCCTTCCAAACCATCAGAGTTGCCACGAAGTCACATTGCCTTCAGTGTCTGTCAATTTCCTTGTCTTCTTTCTCCATGAAGGCACAAATTTTGCACTGAGTTGCGTTCCAAGCTCTCCACTGAATTTCTCATGGGTGGTTATCACACCCATCTCCAGAAGCCTGTCAACCTCAACCTGGTCTGCTCCTTTCCATTGTTGCTGCATCCAACATCGGTTCCAAAGAGGAAAAAGGTTGCCACAGGTCATTTTCACTCATCTCACGCACATGCACAACAGTTTCTGCACCAACACGTATTGCTAATAGCCTTGGTCTCTTTGCATCAGGTTCCAAAGCTTCCACAGCATCAGTTGTTTCTGTAATCTCAAGTGTAACTGGACCCGGGACACCCAGACTGGGTACTGGAGGCCCCGCCTGCTCTATATTTGGCGCAGGTGCCATTGCAGCATCACCAGCGTTGGCTACACCACCTTGTGCATCCATGGGCACTGCAGGCAAAACACTTGCAGGTGCACTCACAACTGCAGATGGTGGTGGAGGCATGTTACGTCTGCTTGTCTCTGGTGTTGGGACCAAATCCTCAATAACAGGAGGTGGAATGACCATATCGTCAGATTCATCTGCTGCTTCATCATCAATGCCTGCGACCGAAGTTGCAAAGGGCTGCTCACCTCGTACAATTGGAAAAAGTTCTGTTTCCAAGATTGCCTTCCAACTGCCAAGGAAAAGTCAAAACTTGTCTAAATTCGTCCATATGTTCACTCCAGTCAGGAAAGAGCATCTTGATGGATCTTGACACACGCAATGTTCCACCCACTGCAACCAGATACATGTCATTGGATCACGTCTTTGTGAGAAAATACCACGCTGCCATCTTGCATCACCCTTTTGTTTCACAGTATCTCCAACAAAAACCATCACTGGACAACCGTATGCACAAAGTTTGGATTGATATGCATGTCCAGCTACCACTTCAAAAGGAGTCATACCTGCTTTCACAGCGAAACGTGTAAGCGTCCAACTGGCATGTACAAAGGCCCACGCAAATAAAGGATGTTGAGGCTGTACGTCAAACCCAATCTTTGAGGTCAGTGCATGCAAAAGCACTGAAGCTTGTCTTCTGACTCTGTCGATTGCTTTCTCAACTGCAGCATTTCCTCCATGATCACCAACCTTTGCATCTTCAATCACTGTTTTCAGATTGAGCCTCTGACATGCACGCTGAACCAAGCGCTGAATTGCCAGTGTTGAATGTTCCTGGTCACAACGTATTGTCACTTCCCCATGTCCAAGGAATGCAATAAAATGTAGAATCTCCTGGCACATGTACTTGGTTTGTCCTTTGTGATGCACTGGAACGCAATGAACTGCACCGCTATGGGAATCATGTAGCACCAAACATGTGAGCTTGCTCTGTTGTGAATCCTCTGCAACCTGTTCACAAGTCTTTCCAGTAAAGCAAAAATCCCATGAAATGATTGGCAGCTCCCTGCGCTGAGCTCGAGAAGGGTCTGACTGGTGTACGTCTGGCCTTCCTCTTGCCATCACACATGCAGGACACCATGTAGCATAAGGAAGGTGTGTGAGCATGTGTGCATCAATCTCTGACTGTTCAGTTGGAGGAACAGCAACTTGTACTGATTCTGCTTTGCGTTTTGTTTCATCCAAGGCCACAGACGCAAGTTCACGCTCAGCATTGATTGCCTGTTTGTCCAACGTTGCCAAAATCCTATTCCACAGTTTCTGTTTGCTCCAGATTGACACACCTGAAGGTATCCACATGCAGCCTTCAAGACAGAAATTGCAGAATCTCTTTCAACTGTAACTCCAGCAATCTTCACGCTCGACATGTTGGGTTGTATTGCAATAGTTTGAGGAATGTGCAAATGAGTTGAACCACCTTGCGCATCTGCTTGAACTGGCACTTCAACAACTTCCATGGGCTCCACGCTCGAAGTTGTACCAGTTGTCCCGTCTTGCACGCCACTTGAACCTTAAGAACCAGATGCAGCGTCTGTTGTGTCTGTGATGACCATGCCAAAGTCTGCAACGCTCATGACATCCTTGGAGAGAAGTGTCAACAACTTCTGTTATTCCTCCATAAACCAGGTCCAAGTTCAAACTAAACAGATCCAGGTGGTGGAAGTTTCCAAACACACACAAACAACAAAATACGCTCCACGAGATTCCACGTTCTCCTGTGTCATGCTTCGTTGAACATCCCCAAAATTGGGACTGATGAAAAATTTCGATCCGTTTCTTAAAAAATCAGACATGAATGCAAACGAAAGGTCAGGCAGCTGAGATTCGAAGCGCCCCTTTTTTTTTATCTTCCAGGTTTGCACTGTCGGGGAAGTTTCGAAATGTTGGCCGTGATTCCAGCTTCAAATGAGTGGTGCCGGATAGGTTCATGCTGCCTATCCATGTTTGAACTTTGACTCAGTAAGTCATGTTTCACCAAAGTCAGGGCACCCGTTGATTCCCCATTCAGGGTGGGAGTGTCACGGGGTGGGTGCTCGAAAATTCCCTTTATAAAAAAGGGGGTCCCTCCCTCCCACCACTTGATGGGAAATGCAACAGTAGAAACATCAATAACAACGTGACCACCACTGATGTGTGTTTCAGTGTTGATTGTTTGTTTCGAAAACAAACACGGTCAGAGTTATTTGTTGTTAAAGGTGATTGTAACAACAACTTTTCAGTGGTTGTTTGCAGAAAGATTCTTTCACCACCAAGACGGTTTAAAGT